CCCCCGCCTATTTAGGGTCGCGGCAGCGCGGGCGGAGGCCCAGAAGCAGCGGCGGCACCGGGTGGGAGCGAGTCTCGAGCTCACCGGCCATGAACCCCAACTGTGCCCGCTGCGGCAAGATCGTCTACCCCACCGAGAAGGTGAACTGCCTGGATAAGGTAAGCCCGTGGGGGGGTAAGGGTCGCCCGTGGGGGTGTCCCCCTTGGGGGGGGGGGAAGGGTCTGTGAGGTCTCCCGTGGGGCTGCCCCTTGGGTGGGATGGTTGTCCCCGCTCCTCCCGTGGGGTATCTCCATGCTGCCCCCCCCATTTCAGGGGCTGGGGGACGCCCCGCTGTCGCGGTCGGGACCCACGCCTCTTCCAGCCACGGGGGACCGGGGGTGGCACCTCCCCGGATCGCGCCGGGCGACGTGGACAGGAGTCCTTTGCCCGAGCGGTCGCCGGCAGCGTCCGGGGCTTTTCCTTATAGATATAGAGATATATATATAGATATATATGTATAATTAAAAAGCGGCATCAGCAGCCCCAGCACCGCGGGAAGCTGTAGCCGGGCGCCCGCAGAGGCCGATGGAAAGCAACAGTTAACGCTTCCCCTGAAGCCGGGAACCTCATCTGGTTTGCATTAGCTGAGCTTTTTTTTATTATTTATATATATTTTTTTTTAATCTTCCGACCCAATTGATACTTCTGTGTTCCAGAATTCAGTCTTTAGAGTTTGCACTGCCTGCCTTGGTGCGCAAGTGCTTTGAGTGTCTCTTTTTGAGGCTTTTCCCATCAAAAACAAAGCTCTGTCTCTGCCAGGGCTGGAGGTGAGGTCCAGTGCAGAAGGCGATGGTGGTTGTCTCCATTCCCGTCCTCCACGGCTCCCGGGGGATTTGCCTCTGAACTAACCCCTCCTGGAGAGCAGAGCTGCTCTCCTCCCCCTCTTCTTCCAGGCTTCTGGGACGACCAGTTTAGGAACTAAAAAAAGTAACTCGAAGAATGCAGCGGCATTCCTGAGCTTCAGCAGACCCTGTTGCTTGCATTTTTAACAGATGATGTTTCTTCCTTAAGCTGGGAATGGCTTGAAGCTGAACTATCAGCCCTGTGTCCCAGGGACTGTCCTGGGTGTTTGGAGCAGTGAGGTGGCTGTATCTTCTGGAGTCTGTGCTGGCCTCGAGTAGCTGCAGGGTATCCGAATCGTGGATAATCGGAAGGGAAGGGGGGAATGTCCCGTTGCTTCCTCCTGCACAGCTGGTATCTGGGTTTTGTGCTACTTCTGAGGGCAAGACTGATGGGCATCCTGACACCATGTATTCTAGTTGTCTGGGGGCAGGCAGGAGGCTGTAGTCATCATCTTGTACTTTTAGGGGTCTTACTAGCTTTCTCTTACTAAAAATCATTGCACGGTCAGTCTTGTAGTACAGCATGCCCCTAACCAAACAGCTGCCCCCTTGCTAACTCCCCCTGTGTTAACTTTTCCTGGGGTTTCTGGCTGGAAGAGCCTGCCCGCTTCCCGTAAAAAGCACAGGATAAGCATAGTGTTAGTAGAGTGGCCGTCCTCTGTTTTTGCTCCGCCTGGAGTAAAGTCGAAAGAGCAGCTCTGGTGTTGTTTTTGTACGTGCTGCTAGCACTGAAGTTGAACCACAGGCAGCAATAATGAAGGGCTTCTGGGAGGAGAAGTGTGCATGTAGTTGCCTTTAAGCTTTCAGTGCTTGTGCTGGTGTGTTGACAAGCAGATGTGCTTGTTTTTCTCCTGGTAGTGGAATCGGGAAAGTCTATTTCCCTTCTGAGATTTACAGCAAACAAGGAAAACTTGCTGCTTTATCAGGCTTTACAAATGCAGTGCCACAGCTAGAGAAGTGAGACTGCCTGCTGATGGCTCCGACTTGGGTGAAACTCTGCCTGTGAGTTCTGCCTTTTGACTTTTCACATCATCACCTTGCAAAAGGCAAATGCCCTGCTCGGGCTTGGGGAAATGGGGGTTGTTCCCTTCCCCCATGCCTCCCCGCGAGCCCCGCCAGCTCTCCAGATAAGGTGCTGTGTGATGTGCCTGGCTTCCGCCGGGGAAGTGACATCTCCCGCGCCGCCCGTCGCTGGAGCGGGTGTCGCAGGGTTTGGTGGTTGCAGCTGCAGCACCCATGTAAAGCTGATGTCAGATGACCTTTTCTAAAATGCGTAGAAGCTGGAACTAGTTGTTACAGTGCATTAAACCTGATTAAGGGTTTGCGTTCAGCCCAAGGAGTGTCTCCTTGTATTGCCCTCTAACCCTTGAGTCTCAAGTGATGCTCGCTCCCAGGTGTGGAGTGATGGCTTTCCTTGGTGGAGGGATGTCGTATGGCTGTAGGATGAGCTACGCCAACATGTCCTGTGGCTTTGAGCTCTGTCCCCAGATCCAGTCTGCTGTGAGTGGCAAAGTTGCTTTAAAGGCTCCATCTCTCCAAGAGCAGCCTGCCTGGACTGCAGCCAGCATGCTTCTCGTAGATTATGGCCTGCTGGGACGTGGGGTGAGCTGCGCCATGCAGTTGTACCTGGGATCGCCTCCAGGTCTTCAGAGCACTTCGAACTTGGAATTGGAGAGCATAGGCATTAATGCTCTTCTAAAAACCTATTTGAAACTTGTCCTCTTTCTCTGCAGCCGTGCTGGCGGGCGAGCGGTAGTGTTACTGGAAGCCTACATAACTGCTGTTCCCCTGTGTCAGTTCTGTGTTGCAGCCCTCCTTTTAGTGCTGGTTTAGATTCGTGGATCCAGCATTAATACTGTCAGTGGTAAGACAGAGTTTGGTGGCAGCAAGACATAGAGAATAGGGGTGATGCTCTTTGGATAGCTCGGCTGGCCGCTTAGGCTGCGGAGAGTCCTCTGTAGGAGCCACAGGACAGAAACACCTCTGCTGAACAATGCCTAATGCAAACTGAGGCAAGAATACACATTAATTGCTCTCTGGCTGGGGGTAAAGGCCGCCTGAGTGCATCGCTTCTGCTGTGCTTATTGTGGAGGCTGCCACAGGCGAGGGGACAGCTGGCCTTGCCAGATACTCCTTGGCTCTTGGGAGCCTGGGTATTCCTTGGAGGAAGAGGCTCTGAAGTCATGTTGGCTGTCAGTTCATCCCTACATATTTATAGTGGCATCTCTGGTATTTATGCACAGCTATTACAGTGCTATGAATGGCTGACAAGCTTGGAGAGGTCTGTTAATTACCTCTAATGCGGCAGTAGCTCAACAGAAAGGCTGTTAACTTTCAAGGTGCCTGAAGAACTCGGGACTCTGCTGTTGATCAGTCTGTCCTTAAAAGAGCCTGAAAGCTGGGAGGGGGTGAAAATAATCCTGTGCAGGCTGGATGTGAACAAGGGTGTTGGTAGAGCAGCGTGTGGCGCAGCAAGAAGCCCCCTCTCACTGTTAGCGGCAAGCTCTGGAGGAACTTGTATAACTAGAGGAAAAGAACAAATATGTTGCTCTGAGCAACTGAAACGAGGCAAATTGTCCTTCTGGGCTGAGTCATAGTCTCATAGAGCTGCAGCACTGTTTGTGCACTGGGGTGTGGTACCTGCGAGTAGGTGGCACAAGGGCTTAGGCTCGGCTCTTGCCATGTCCTTTGCAGTAACACAGACCAAGCCAGTAGTTGCAGTGGTGGAAATGACTTTTTAAAAGCTTAAGGGTGGAAATCATAGCAACAACCACCAGCTGTTCTCCCTGAGTTCGCTTGCTGCATATTTAATGTGTGCCTGGCTCCTTGTCCTGGGTGTCACACTGGAGGCTTGTTGACTGTAATCTACTTGGTATTATGAGCTGCTAATGTGGCTTTCAGCTTCTTTCCCTGATTTTTGTGGCGTGATGCTGGGTGGTTTGTGCTGTACAGGGTGGCTTGCTGAAGGAGAGGGGTCAGCTGAGGAGGGAGGGCAACCCTAGGGCAGGACTGCCTTACCTCAAGTGAGTAAAGACCTTGCTTCAGGCTGTGCTTTCCCTGTTGCGCTGCTCCAGCTCAGCTCCTGCCTGTGTGCTTTCCTTTCTGCGGTGCCTGGTCTGGTCCCTGGGAAGTCACACCAGACCCCTCAAGTCCCAGTGGCTGTGTCTGCCAGAGGAAGCATGAAGTCTGGTCACTTGGAGACCAGCAGAGCATCAGCCTTGGTCTGTGTGGGATTGAGCAGCCTTGCAGAATTGCTTGGTAGCAGCTCTGAGCTGTTCTCATCAAGGCTCCTTCCAGCCTAGAAAGCCACTTGGGCCAGTTATGTGCCACGTGGAAATAATGTCTTTAAGAGCAGCCCTAAAAACTTAAAATACTTCTTTAGAGTTCGTTAGGTGTTGCAACACATAATGTAGGGTCATGGTCTGAATTTCAGGGGCTATGTCTTTAGCCTTGAGTCTGAGTGTGCCTCGCTGGTTAAAAGGAGAGCTGTGCTGCTGTACAGCTGTGTTCAGATGACAGAGCTCAGGTGGGATGTGGGATCAACTTGAGGCTGCTGGTGCAAGAGCTGGGGAGGAGAGGATGCAAAAACTACCTCCACCAAAATGTCAGCTGAGCAGCTCCTCTTCCCCGTTGCTGTCTTCCCAGCCCTGCCCTGTGTTAGGCTGCAGCCCTGACAAGAGCAGTCATAGCTCTTGACAGCCCCACCGTGAGGAGAGGGGGGAATGAGGAGTGCTTGGGGTGATCCTGCATCCTCTGGGGCCGTAGGGTTTGTGAGTTTTGGGATTAGGCACCTAAGTTGCAAGCAGAAGGGTGCTATCTGTGGTGAGGACCTTTGAGCTGTCTTGTGTCAGACTGTCTGCTTCTCATGAGAACCTTTTCTTCTCCGTCTTCGTTTCCTTGGCTTGGTGTCTGTGTGCAGCCTTACCTGACCTGCTCTTCTGGCTATCTCTTGGCTAACACCAGCAAAAAAACCCTAAAGCAGCAACTTTGAAGCCTGCAAACCGCAGCTGTTAACTCTGCTGACAGGCTCTCTGCTCACAGGGATTTATGTTGTGCATCTTTCTGAGTAGGAGGCTTCTCCTGTCCTGTATTTGGCCAAGCTCATGAATTCCTGGTCTGGAGATAAGGAAGCAAGATGCTGCTGTAACGCAAGTGACAAGTGTTGCTGCCCTGTTGAGATAAGATGTATTGGGATGGTTAGGGGGATTTGCTTGTGTTGTAAACTGGTAAGAATATTGTCTGTCCTCTAGGTTTTGTAGGGGTCATGGATGCCATCACTGACATAGCTAGGCTGGAGAAGCTGCTGAGTTTGAGTCGTGTGATTCTAGTGGGACGTGGCCCTGTTTTGCAAGTTGCTTGTGTTAATGATTCTCTTGTTTCTGTTTCCAGTTCTGGCATAAAGCATGTTTCCACTGCGAGACCTGCAAGATGACCCTAAACATGAAAAACTACAAGGGCTACGAGAAGAAGCCGTATTGCAATGCGTAAGTCTCTGCTGCCTGCTCTCGTTGCCACTGAGAAAGCATTGGGCCCGGGAGATGCTGTAGGACTTGCTGGACCCTCCTCCCTCTTAAGCACCAGTCCTCACACCCTGAAATGAGAGGTTTGGGGAACCCTGACCTCAGCAGAAACTGTCTTTCCCTGCTGCTCTGCAGCATTTTCTGGGAGTGTGTGAAGCTCTGGTTGAAGGGGTCACACCAGCCAATTAATGCCAGTATTAAAACAGTGTTTTCCAGGCTTAAATGCCAGCTGATGGCTGCTCTCCAGTTCCAGCTTGGGCACCCAAAAGGAGAATAAAATTTAAATACAGGCAGGCATTTACATGGAGTTGATCTTGATCTGTATTCCCTTAAAGAAGGGGAAATAAAGGTGTTTATACCACCCCAACTGAACACAGGTGTTTGGGGAGAGGAGAAATGCCCTTTTGTGCAGGGGGAATGGGCTATGTGAAACAGCAAGGGATGCAGGTGTCACTGCAGCCTGTGCTCTGCTGAGTTCATGGCCAAGTGCATTCACCCTAAGCTTCTGGCACTTGCCCTGGATGTTGGGAGGGTAAATGCATCTGAAGGTAAATGCAGCTTGAATGCAAAATCCTTCTCTCCTGAGCAGCATGGGGGAGATGGAGGCAGAGCAGGGTAGAACAGGAGCAGCTGCCTGTATGCACCCCAGTTTGCTTTCCTGGATCTTTCAGGCTGCTTCTGAGTGGTGGATGTTTGCTGGCCCCCACTTCTTGCTTCTTATCAAGGAAGACCCTTAATTGTGCACAGCTTTCTGGGCGCTGCTGTTGCATAATGAATGCTAGTTCTTCCTCAGCCCAATAGGGAAGCACTGAGCTCTAGGTACCTGACATGTTTCTTAATGTCTAGAAAGCAGCTTTGCAATAAGATTTTTGTAGCTGCTTCTTAGACATTAACAGTTGTTAGAAAATTAGATAACATAATAGTACTTAGCACTTGTATAGCACAGTCCTTTCACAGAGTACTTGAAAAACATTAATCCTGACAACATCCTTGTAAGATGGGTATTACCCTCTTAATGTCTAAGACAAGCTGAAAGGAGAAGTGCTAAGACCATCAGCTGTATGATGCCTTAGCAAAAACCTCCCACTTCTGTAGCTCTTTTGTAGGTTGGCTATTGCTGATATCAGGTGTTGATGATGATTGTGACTTGTCCAAGGTCCAAAGCTTCTGTTGATCTGAGTTGAGACTTCTAGCATTAAAGTCTTGGCTGGTAATGGTTGTGTCCTGGGATCTCACCTGAAATGCAGGGTGGCAATTGTGTGAAAAGTAGCAGATAACTCTTGGTTATCTTGTGGGGGGGCCAACAGCACTATTAGAGCTCCAGCTTCCGAGGTGAAACTGGGAACATACTGGAGTAGTATGATGGGGAAACCGGTGGGCTGAGGCAGGGTGAACTGTTAATTAAAGGGATACTTGTTCCTGGACTGTGCAGGCTTTTCAACCTACCATGGTGATGGTCCAACCAGCCTGGGATCTGTGAGCTCCAGACCTTGATTTGCAGAGAGCTGCAGGAGATAGGATCCCGAGCTCTCCTTAGTGTCCTGAACCAAAGCTTTCTTTGGATCATGGGCACCCTGATACCAGCTCTGGCAGAGAGCTTTGCTTGGCACCATGTGCCGGGGCATGCCCATCCCTAGTGCTTCTGCCTCTGGCCGTAGGGATGGGCCTGGGGTCCTGTTCTTGTGCTCTCTCCCTCCAGGCTGCTGGAAGGGAAGTGGGATAATAATGGGAAATTCCTGAGATTCCAAGGAGTCTGCGCAACCCATCTCAGTTTCTCAACCCCCTCTGCTTGAGAGCTCCCTTTGATGCTGGCTTGCTGTCTTAACCCTTTCACAGCCTCCCTGAAGAAGATGTGTCTGTCTTGCCTCTACCCCAGGGTAGCCCTGAGTGTTGAGAGTTGTGCACAGAAACCTGCATTAAATGCTTTGTTCTTCCTACTTTGCCTGGCCATGCCTTAAAGCAAAGGGAAGTGAGAGCAGCTGAAAACTGCTGGCAGATGAGGCTTTGCCTCTGGCAGCTGCCAGCCCCTTGTTTGTTGGGGTGGAGGCTGTACGGCTGCAATGCCCAGACGTGGGGTGAGGGGAAGCTCCAGCCAGAGGACATGGGTTTGGATGTGGGTTTGGTTCCCTCTCAGCTGCTGCTCCTGGAGTATCCTGGGGAGGAAGAAATGTCCAGGCAAGGTAAGCGTGTCCAGCAAAGGACAGCCCAGGAGGAGCCCACCCTTTCCAAATAGCTTTTGCTGATGTTGGAGTTGAGGGGCAACATCTTCTATCCCCTGAGAAGGGGGTGGAAAAGCAACGTTTATCCTGGCAGGGAAGAGGCTGCTTTTCTGAACATGCCTTAGCACAGGGTCTCCTCTGTTTGAGCCATGGCCTTCTGCCAAATTCCTGAGTTTCTTTCTTCAAGAGAGCAGGAGGAAGAGGGCTGGGCTTCCTCCCTATCTGACATTACCCAGCAATAAATCTGTGTGAAGCCTTTCAAGAAGGTGGCTGGTTAACTCTGCCCTCTGCCCTCCCCGTACCCATCAGTGTTGGGAACTTGCTTGGTGGCAGATGTGATGGTCTCCACCCTCCTCACCGTTCCTCTTTTGACTTCAGCTGGGTACTGGGGTGACTGGTTGTTCACTGGAAGCAGCATTCAAGGCTGGGCTCATTTCTTTACATGAGCACTTTGAACTAAAAGAGGTAGAAGTGGAAGAAGGGCAATATCCAGGTGAAGTTTGAGGCTTCTGCAGACGAAGGGTGGGGGAGAGCCCAGCCGCAAAGGACAGGCAAGACTCTGTGTGTTCAAGGGGACCAGCTGCTCCAAATATGCATTATATGTAGGCTTTAATTTCTTACTTCTTGTGCTGAAGGGATAACAGAGCTCTGTGTTGCAGCTGGCAGGGCTGAGGCTGGGGGGATTGGGGCTGTGTCCCAAATAGAGGTGGTACCTGCAGCAGCAGAACTCTGGTCCCCTCCTTCCAGGCAGCCCTGGTGACTGGCAGCTCCATGCTTTGCCTCAGTGGTGGCTCAGCGTGCGGCACGAATCTGTGCCTTGAAAATCCTGTCTGAGAGTTCAAAGCTGTGTATTTGGTCCGGGGAGTCGGCATCTTCAGAGACATCGCTGGGCAGCGCTGCTGCTTGAAATGCAGAGAGGAGCTCGCATATGCCTGGGTGCGGAGCTGTGTTGAGGTGGGGAGAAGCAGCAGTATCCTGGGCAAGAGGCTCCTTTTCTGCCTCTGTCCTGGCTACAAGGTTGTTCTGCTCTTCTCCCTTGAGGACACGGAGAAGAGACCTGAAGCTAGACTTTTGCAGAGCTGTGGGTTTGCCTGAATTCCTGCTGATGACCAAGCAATTGCCCTGTTGGATGCCTCTCTGTCCGGAAAGCCCTACCCTGGCTGCGCACATGCATCCCCTGTGCTGGCATCCTGCTGCTGGAGCACGGCTGATCAGAGGGGCTGTCTGTGCTGCCTGCACACCCCATGGTGCTGGATTTTTTTTTATTTCCTTACTGCTGCAGACTAGCTGGCAGGAAGTTAATGGCCTACTTGCTCAGCAGTCCCTCCTCCCCCACCAGGGAGAGGCAGCCTGGCCTGATGTGCAGAATCCTTTGTTTGAAGGTGCTTGGGGAGATGGTGCTGCCGACCGAGACCCTCTGCTCACCTTTGCTGTAGTCCTGGCTCAGGCTGCCCTGTGAGCGCAGAGCACAAGGAAATAAAAGTGCTGCTCTGTCTCCACATCCCCCTTGTTAAACTGCATTATTTTTTCCCCTTCAAAAAGGGGCTAAAGGCTAAGCAAGACTGCCAAAAATATCTTACGTAGGTGTGTCGGCAGGGTCCCCACTCCCTCCATCTGCCGTACTTGCGTGACTTCAGCTTTCCTTCAAGGAGCTGACTTTCCTTGCAGAGAAACCACACCCTGCGCAGTGGTAGCATGTGTGCCGATGTGTCCGGAGGGATCGGGATCTCCATGCTGACATTCCTCTTCGCTGAGTCAGGGCAAGCGGCTCCCGGCTCAGCAACTGCCCTGCCCGCCTTACCTAGACCTAGCACCTCATGTTACTGGGGCACAGCGAGTCTGAACGGGAGCTGTAAAACCTTTAATTTCTGGTGATGACCCAAAGAACCTCCCTGGCAGATTTCTCACCGTTAAAATCCCTGCCTTTCCATGCAGAGCAAGCGGCCCAATACCTCTGGGCTAACTCCTTGCTTGGAAAAAGTTAGTGAGCGGCTCTGAGCTTCACAAGGAGCCAGTGATCTGTTCCTGGCACTCCTCTCTGCTCCATCTGGTAGCAGCCTACTACATTAATAAAGTGATCTTCCAAGTTTGGGGGGGGGCAGGAAGGGAAAGAGGAACAACTGTGTTACTGGGACGGAGTCCAGGTGTTTATCCCATGCTTTATTTGTGCTGAGTTTCTGGATGAGAAGAACTGCCTTTCTGTCTTGGTGCACACACTTTGCATGCCGTGGAGCTCTGAACAGATTCTGCTTTTTGTCTTGGCGTAAATGAAAGCTGGCCCTCCCATATGCTGCTGTGGTGGGGGAAGGACCCCCAACACGCAGGGCTTTGAGGAGCTGGGGGATACAGGGTGCTTCTGCTTCACCTCTGCTGTGTTTGGGGAAGGGCTTGCTGATGCCTCTTCTGTGAGGGAGAGGGGATATGGTGTATGGGAAAGCTCTCCTGAGTAATGCTGTGATTTAATGGCTGGAAGGCTGCAAATATTAGCAAATCCTCTTTGGGGTGGAGCCTCTGGTTTCTGAAGTGCTTGGGAAGGGTTTACTCTGAGTGCTGTCAGTACCACAGAGTTCTCGCAGCTGACACTATTCCTCCTGGAAATCCAAAACCCTTCTGTAGGGCTCTGCTACCCTCCCTCCACCCCATCTGTGGCTGTTAGCTCCTCTCCCTGGCTGGAGATCAGTTTAAACCAGTGATGCCCCTGCGTGCACAAGCCAAAGCATCTGCAGAGGTGGGAGAGGGGGCGAG